GTCTTGTGTTGCAACGTCTCCAGCCAAGCACAGCGAGTATCACGTGGGCCTCATCTTGGAAGGCGGACAGCAAATGTGAGCACCAAAGATTCTCGTAAACTGTCCACCAAGACATGTTTTGCCCATATCTTGGTTTGCGTCGTGCTGAGGATGACATGTAAAGCGCATATATTTCGACGTGTACAGCACGTGAACTGCTGTTTACGCTCCACAAGCGAATTACCGTGTGCTTAACCAGATACGCATTTCCAGATCAAGTTGTTGGAGATTCGTTGGTGCCGGTTTCTCGTTGCTGGGGTACTGGATGGTCAAAAACCCGAAGATCCCTTAGATCCACTGCCCACAAACGCTGCAAATGAACGACTATTTAGGTCCTCAGAATGTCTTTTTGATGCAACAATCGGCGTAGATTTACATCACGGTTCTGGCCTTGAGATACATAACATCACGGTTCTAGCCTTTGAGATACGTATAGAGAATCACTCCACTACCTGCAGAGTCCCTCCTTGATGTGTAATCCAATGACTCCACTTCCTGTAGCTTAGCTTTTCTACACTGTGCTATGAGGCTAATGCCGAAGGCTGAGGTGACTCATCAGGTTTTTCTATGTACACGTCACCTCCGGCTCCTTCAACTGTCCGATTCATTATCTTATCAACACACATTAAACAGAGAAGTTGGACGGGGTGAGATGTGGTTCATGCAACCAGTTTCCGACAGGAATTTCGCTTGCTTTCCACGACCTATGGGTCTTGGTACAACATGGGTAAAGTTGATCATGATTGCCACTCCCTTTTGGAAGAGATGCACTGTTATCTATTCGCTCCTGTTGGCCGGTTTCGTTTCCTTCTCCTAGATAGGAGCGAAAAAGTGAAGGAAGTGCTGACCGAGGACTTCACTTCCATCACTGAGCAACACCAGTGGAAGCTCGTCGGGACAGCTGTTTTGTGGCTTTTGAGCTAAGAAATTTATCTACATACCTCTAACCGGAGATTCCAAGTTCACCGTTCACATTTATGTCAGTGATGGTTAGCCTAACCAGACGGCCAGCCAAACTGTTGTTGTTCGGGTGTCTGTTCAAAATAAGTGAGGTGAGTAACTGTCCCACTCACTGACCGTTCTTCAGGGTCCATTTCATGGATCAGATTGAGCAACTTTCAAACCTTCCATGAGCTTTTAAGGACCAAGAGACTGTGTTAGTTACTTGCTTTGAGATTGCGAGTGCCACGTGGGTTCTGGAAGCAGCTCAATCACAATACGGTAAGGTCCGATCTCTTGGTGTAGTTAAGGCTTTAATATGTACGTGGGTTTATGTTACTGTTCAATACTGCCGGGCTTTCAGGTTCTTTGTGCTTCCATTGAGTTCACTAGTCTGTTTACGTAGTTTGATAGATGCGCAAGCACTGTCGTGAAAGACGAAGTCAGTGCGCGCATTGCAAACGCCTGACCCGCATTTGCGAGCTTGCATGATTTATGGCACCAGACAAAACCTACTACTGTGCCAAAACGGTATCCAGAGCCCTCCGGATTTATGAATATGTGGCCGGGTGCTTCGATGACCTTAAAACGTCCCCAAAAGTTCAAGAATCGATCTCTGAATACTGCGGGTGTTTTAGTTGGCCGCAGCGAGTTTGCAATCGATTGGTACGTAAGCCATCTAAGGGTTTACATTAGCTTTGACGGATTAGCAATAAAGCCCATTAGGTTACACTGAATGGGGCACTTGCTATACATGCCTTCACTCCTCAACGTACACAAAGAAAGATTCACGGTGGCACACTATGGCTGACAACAACTATAGAAGGTGCTCTTTCCATACTAGGTGCTGTAGAGTCCTCCCACCTTATGCGTTACTAGATTGCAGACAGGACATGACATTTTGTCCTTGGTCCCACGATGAACTTGGGGCTGTTTATCCGCGACAGATAGCTGACTACCGCTCGCTATGGGCTCGAGACAGTTCAATGGTTAAGGCGCAGAATTACTGGCCGGGAGGTCCGTGGTCCGAACTCAACTTCAACATCTCGATTGCTTCTGTCCAGGATGGGGCAACCTGGCAATATCTCAGCCTCCGTGCTTCCTTCAGGTGGCACCGAGCGGGTGTTACGGCCAAACGACTGTTCAGTATCACACAAACTGCGCAACTTTATCAGGATGGTGGTAGCATCTTCTAGGCTCAATGTATTCGTTATAAGCGCACCTTATTGAACAAGCTGGGAGGGATTAGTGGATGGTTAAGAAAGTTAGTGAGCTACCGCGTTTCTTGAGTGTGATTACCAGTGCATTCCAGCAGCTTGTAGCTCCAAAATTATTGGTGAACCCTGTCTGTCATAGTTTGAGCATAGCGTAACTATTTCTATCGGTCGTAGGGACGGACGCTTGCGGAGAATTTCTGGAGGACCGACATGGAAAAGACGAGACCTTGCAAAGTATTCGTTAGGGACCGAAATACGCGCAATATCTCCAGTTCGGACGGCTTTTTACAAGAAATCTGGTATCTGACGGTGAATTCTTCATGCACTATTGGTGGTATGAGGGGATTGTAAATTTTCAAAGCGAAGCCTATCTGTGATGAAAAGTCGAGAAGCACTGCGCAGTATTGATAGAACTATCATTTGTAATCTGTGACTACAAGGTTATACTGTGAACCGGAACATATAATGATGGAAGGTTTTATGAAGCCACTAGTGTTTTCTGCATTATTTTGATCCTCCTTCAAAGTTAGTGGAAGAACCATTAACTTCCGATTTAGCATGTGCCATATCCCTGTAAAGTCAGCTGATAAGCATCGATAATGAGACCCTGCATTCTTATCGGTCTCAACAAGGATCGGCGCAAACCCGACCTCTGCCTCTCGACTTCCCGTGTCTAAGCCTGGGCAACCTGGCAGCATCCCAGCCCTCGTTCTTCCTTCGAGTGGCATGGCAGCTAGGCACCGGAAGTTTTTTCCAACAAAAGTCTTATATTAACGTTATCTGTCTTTCTTGAATTTCCCCCTCCCACGCAACTTAGATCATTCAACATTCAAAGCAGCTGTCCACCAAATTTGTGGTTGACTGCGGTTTGGTATGCCCAGGATTCCTAAAGTAGCGTGTTGTGTACAGAGAAAATGTTATTAAGACCGTTTTGTTGATTCTGTCGGTGCTTGCCTGGAACTGTTGTACCTGATACTCAATGTTCTCACAGATTCGACGACTCCAATATCCGTTGCAGTGTTCTTTATCGCCGTTAGCACCAATGTACGAACAGCATGATAGTTCAGTTGAGTATCGTACCGTTCAGCTGTAGTACCATTTCAGTACCTAGCCGCCATGCCACACGAAGGAGGCACGAGGGCTGGGATACTGCCAGGTTGCCCAAGCCTAGATACGGGAATTCGAGATGTCAAGGTTGGGTTCGAACCATGGACCTTTCGGTCAGTAGATCCGTGCTCCAAACACTGCCCTTTGAGCCATCTGACTCAATGTATTCAGTTATGTCAGCCATTGTCATTTGTGAATCGAGTGACTGTACCCAGATGGATGCTGAAGTGCACAACGCAAGTATTGCAATGAAACCTGCTTGATCATTAGGCCTGTGAACAATATTTTGCTTAGTCACTGTGCTTACGGTACCAGAAAAATGATTGGCTGACTGCAAACTTCGTACGGTAATATGATGCGGAACCTTTTGGAACCTTCATAGAACAAGTGGTTTCAACATAAAAAGGGTTGCCGCAACGTGCGTCAATGGCGTTCAGCAAGTGTTCTGCACTTAAAACACAAGAGAAGGAGAAGGGCCTCTTAGTCGATCGAGATTCACGTACAGTATTGAACTTGCGGGACGCGAATGCAATCTTTGTGTTTTTTATCGGCAAAATGTATGATCTACATGACCATGATGGTGGGTTTCTTATTGACATAGTATGGTGAGAGAAGCCGGAGTAACTGAGGTTCGGGATTCCGTTTCTGCGGTAGACATACATGTTAAATCAGGCGAAAAAATCGCGGTCCGTTTCTTCATCAGATAATTTATAACAATAGGTAGGTAAAAAGGCAATACCCCGATCAATATCACGTCGAACATGATTGTCAAACTTCTTTGCACACTCATGCGAACATAAATTCATCTAAAAAAAAATACGTGTTGGAAAGCGACAAAGCATGTGTGCGACCTAATACGCTGTTTGGTGCGGTTGATGCAATGTAGAAAGGAATCGTGCATGTGAGACGGAAACTAGTAACAAGACTTCTGCATAATTTATCAATAATGGAGGGTACTGTCGTGGATCCAATCAATAGAACGGAGAGAAGTGCGCTTTTCGCTTGCTCGCAGGTCAACATGTGAGGCGTGCGAAAAACCTGTTCTATTTTCACTCACTAGCTTACTTCTGTGATGAGCTTGTGTGCACCGCAATTCTTGTCTGTTTCCATTTCAGTTACCCAGAAAACAGCAACAACGATCGGACCGGTCTGCGCCGGCAAACCGACGGAAAGCCCCCTTTGTTAAACCACCATTCACCAAAGGATCTTCTGTTCGATTTCGGGATGCTAGCAGAGCAATGAACATTCGACACACGGAGAAGCACAACGAATCGAAAATGCTGCATCCTTCCTGGCAAGCAAAACGAGAAGAAAAAGTGAAGGCCCAAATAGTCGCCAACCCAGTTGCTGCCGCGAAACGTATTGTGTTTGACGACTAACCGAAGCTGTCCTCGTGTCTGTATATAATGTTTCTGCGACTTTTGCTTACAAGGTGTGATACGTGTTGGAAAGCGACAAAGCATGTGTGCGACCTAATACGCTGTTTGGTGCGGTTGATGCAATGTAGAAAGGAATCGTGCATGTGAGACGGAAACTAGTAACAAGACTTCTGCATAATTTATCAATAATGGAGGGTACTGTCGTGGATCCAATCAATAGAACGGAGAGAAGTGCGCTTTTCGCTTGCTCGCAGGTCAACATGTGAGGCGTGCGAAAAACCTGTTCTATTTTCACTCACTAGCTTACATCTGTTATGAGCTTGTGTGCACCGCAATTCTTGTCTGTTTCCATTTCAGTTACCCAGAAAACAGCAACAACGATCGGACCGGTCTGCGCCGGTAAACCGACGAAAAGCCCCCTTTGTTAAACCACCATTCACCAAAGGATCTTCTGTTCGATTTCGGGATGCTAGCAGAGCAATGAACATTCGACACACGGAGAAGCACAACGAATCGAAAATGCTGCATCCTTCCTGGCAAGCAAAACGAGAAGAAAAAGTGAAGGCCCAAATAGTCGCCAACCCAGTTGCTGCCGCGAAACGTATTGTGTTTGACGACTAACCGAAGCTGTCCTCGTGTCTGTATATAATGTTTCTGCGAATTACAAGGTGTGACCTGCTACTCTTCTCGTCAAATGTCTGGAGTTAGTTAACGGTTATTTAGATCACGTAGACAGGACGCCTCAGATAATGCACACTAGGATGAGACTAGTCATGTCAGTGACGCATCAACCGCTTCACTTTTCAACCACTCTGTTTATTCTGAGGTTGGACAACCGCTTCACTTTTCAACCACTCTGTTTCTTCTGAGGTTGCAGAACGCATCTTATCCCACTATTGGAAAAATGAAAATCGTCCAGCTGTAGCACCCTTTCGGTGCCTAGCTGCCATGCCACATGAAGGAAGCACGAGGGCTGGGATACTGTCAGGTTGCCCAAGCCTAGACAGGGGAAGTCGAAAAGCAGAGGTCGAGTTCGAACCACGGACCTTCCGGTCAGTAAATTCGTGCTNATTCGCGCTCTAACCACTTGGGTCATCTCGCCCACTTGGAGGTCATGACAGCCAAACGACCTCACTACTACACAAGTCCCTTGGAAATACCCTGGTTTCGACGCAGAAATAGACTTTCCATCGATTGGCTCAAAACTATGCCTTTTGTAGATTAACGTTAGTCTGTAGTCTTCTTCATCGGTGTTCCATATGTATGTCGGAAACGGGTAATACTTTTGAATAGACTGATATACACGTGCGGTAGTTGTTGTGTTCACAACATTAAGATACACGTCCACGCGTATCATCCCTTCGAGAGGAACCACCCCAAGGAAGACCGTCTCACTAAATTCTCGAGGTCTGGCTCTTAATCGATAACCCTGACCTCCCAGCGAAAGAACGCTGCTCGTGTCCATCAGATGACGATGCAAAATCCGTCCACTTGCACCTCGTATATTCCTATGTCAGGTGCTTAGCCGACTAGCCACAATACAGTTAGGTTTGTTCTGCGGCGGTTGAGGACCCTTGGGTTTACCTCGGTTTGTCCTCTCCATACGGGTGTGCCCGACATGAAAGCTTTCGGAGACCAATCAGAAGTGGTCTCTCTAGGAGGATCTACATCTGTAAACGTTGGTGAACCACTAATCAAGTGTTTATCAACCTCACAATGGGTTCATTTCTACCTACAGGATCAGCTTCTTTCCCGCTCCGAGTCAAACAATACGAAAAAACAAGTAGTCATTTTTCAAAAAATAATCTAACCCCGGAGATGAACAAACATTAGCAACGATAACTTATTTTGAAGGGAATGTCATTTATTGCGGGCGTTTCTTCTCGCCAAAGTTCAGGAAAAAAGGAGTGAGTCCGGTGGAACATAAGATGTATTATTGCAGCTTCCATTTCGCTTCGTTTTTTGTTTATCTAACCTGCTTTTCACAGGTGTGCCATCTCAGACATGAGCAACGCATTAGTACTACTTTAGGAGCTGTGAGGCACTTCAAAAGTGCACGTTTGTGACATTTTGCTTAAAGGTCAAGTTATCAGTTGGCGCACAAGTAGACTGGTTAGTATCCAATGGTGGTTAGGGCCACCAAAACCACTTGCATGCGGTCCAAAGTCTACAGGAAAATGATGGTCAAATAGATTACCATGGGCCGTAGCATTTTCTGCTACTGCGTAACCGCGATCAAAGCATCAACGCATGACTCTCTCTCCATCGTAATTTTCATTAGCAGGTCTACATTTCCAGAAATGACTCATCTTCCTCACACTCAACCATCCTACAGACATACACGGGGTTGATTTGCGGATAGATCGAATAAGGCGGATTTGCCTCCAAAATTGGTCCTGAAACCCAGTATAATGGATTCGCTGGATGGTGCAGCTGTTGCATTATAAGAGAGAAACCGTCAGTTTTGAGGAAGAATCAACCTCAGCTGCACCAAGAGCCGAGCTAGCAACTCGGAGGGCGTAAATGCTCACCTCTCAGGTCAGACCTAAATGTGTAGGTTTATGTGGATGTTTTAATCAAGCTAGGCAACGGTTCACCAGGTTTGATCCGTTTGACCGTTTGCTATGACCTAAGCGGGCTTATCTTGTGCATAAAGGTGGTGCGGCGGTGAACGGAAAAGTGTTGGAACTTTTTCTAGTATCTAAGGCTTGAGACAAAAACTTCCGAACTACGCGGATGTAACACCTACAACCCTGGAACGAATGCATTGTGGACACAGGCAAAACCGACGTTACATGCACAATATTCCACAATGTCACCAGGTTTGATCCGTTTGACCGTTTGCTATGACCTAAGCGGGCTTATCTTGTGCATAAAGGTGGTGCGGCGGTGAACGGAAAAGTGTTGGAACTTTTTCTAGTGTCTAAGGCTTGAGACAAAAACTTCCGAACTACGCGGATGTAACACCTACAACCCTGGAACGAATGCATTGTGGACACAGGCAAAACCGACGTTACATGCACAATATCGTTTCCACAATGTCTTACTAATAGGCCTCCTACAGTACCAACACACGTTCTGACCACTCGTCTGCCATCCGTAACACTCGAATCAGTAGCTGCTGGTATGGAAACAAAAGTTGAAAGTGGTGAGTGATGGAAACACGCCGTTATGAACCACTGCAGGAAATTTTGTCACCTACTTTACCTGAAAAGTGCTCGTCAATACACAACATCGTCCACGAAATACCGTGAGTTCCTACACGTGGAAATCCCGTTTTATAGGAACATTTTCGAGTAAAACCACTCGACCACATCTTGATAACACACCCCTCAGGACCGTGAGTTCCTACACGTGGAAATCCCGTTTTATAGGAACATTTTCGAGTAAAACCACTCGACCACATCTTGATAACACAACCCCTCAGGATTGTATTTTGATGGGAATTTCTCCTGGGAAATTCTCCAAACTGGCTCGTCTGTTGACCAACCAAGCTTCAGCGTGGCAACAAGAGCTGAGTAATCGTGTTCCTGGAAAGTCAAAAAATCGATCCGATGTCTGCATATGCGTGATTGTTGTTCAGCTATTTCCCCACACCAGAATACAAAATCACGAATGCCGCTTGTAGAGGCCAGAATAACTGACAACCTTAGGTTGCCAAATTTGCTGCGCCATGTTAAAAGACCCTTTAATGATTACCCGAAAGGCAGAGCATATTCCTACGTTCGATAATATCGACGCCAGTTAGCTTAAATTCAGTTCATTAATGCGCGGCTCCATCTGCAGCATCTAGAATTGTGAAGGGTACTACGGAGATATCAGATATCGTATTGATCGTCCATTATGCATCTGGATACAGTCTTTCGTTCTGGTGTGAATTATTCAAACATGGAAGACCTGAGTTATAAATCAACAGACGGCTCTTTGGACCTGCAGTGATTGAGTTCATACGATCATGCAAACGGTTTTGAAAACGCTTGGGAAATTCTGCTCTAGTCTCCAAACTTTGGTAGCTCCAGCACCAGCTGACTACCCAAAAAGCCACGTGCTTCAACCATGCGGTTAATCTTGTACTCAGCCCTGTGGTGAAAGTCATACGAGTGAATTCGCGTGCCCAACGTCCACAAATACGATGCGTTAATGGAAGGGTCGTTGCGATATAGGTTCATGAGCGTTTAATTTGCACTGTTGTTGTAGGAAGACATGAGTTCAGCACAAAACCTAGCTTCTTTTATGAATATGCTGTTAAGCATACCATACCATGAATAGCTCAGGTACTTCCAGCCAGGAAGCATCAAAGGAAGAGCCAATCGGCAAGCCGCCCTACCATTGAAGGGTATAATGGCCAGACCAAATTGCTCGTTGAACTCAAATCCCCAAAATTATGAGCCATTCAGCCGGCAGCAAATCAACTAGAAGCACATGAGCAATCCCCAACGAATGGTTACACAATGAAACAATCTGGCGGATAAATAATCGGACTCAAAGGTAACAATACACTGATCAATGTCGTCCAGCTTTGAATGAGGAAAGAAATCGACCAATGAAAGTGTGATCCAGTGAATAAAGGAGTGCAAGAAAACTATTATATCTAGCTGTTGTTTCAAATCCAGTGCCTGGTGTTATCGGCCTTTGCTGAATTGATTGAATGATTGACTGGCCTGGATGTTTTCCGGCTTCCCTATCAAGATTTTGGTGGGGTTTTAGGGTCTCACTAGGTTCCAGACGTTCTGGGGTTATTTTCAGGAATCTGACCTTACTGATAAAAACCAAACAGTCAAATGCCAGTTCTTACGAATCTGGTGGGAACACCGGATCAGCAACGCTGAAGTACGTCGAATGGTATTCGGGAGAAATAACTCACCCTCGGTAGATGGACTGATCACACTGCATAGGTTACGCTGGCTTGGCCACGTGCTGCGTATGCCAGTCCACCGGCTTATTCGAAGGGCTCTTTTCGCACAACCACGTGAAGGGTGGAAACAAGCCAGAGGCGGTCAAACAATCACTTGGCATCATCATCGACAGCATGACTTGACAGCAAAGTATAAAAGCCATTACCAGAAAACTCAGCTGCGCTGGTCATTGCCGTCTTCCTGGATGGGGACCCTGAGATGGACCACATCAGTGGTTAGAGACATTGTAAGACATGGCCCAGTTGCGCCCTCAATGGCGCTCATGCATCCAAGCTATTGCCTTCAATGCATGGCTGCCTGCCCAATACCCCCAGTTAACAGACAACCTGCAGTGCTGTATTCACGCACTAATTTATCAGTTCCCGCCTTCAATGCGCAGCTAGCTACCCCATCTTTCCGAATCATCGGTGAACGAAACCGTGGCAGCTACAACCACTGTATGACAAGTGCGCGGTTCTTACAGCTGATAATGATGTTGAGAGAGAAGGCCACTATGGGTATAATCCTATCGGATGACAAGTCCATCTAAATCGAGGCAGTCAAAGATGAGAAGAACTCTGTGTACGACAATCGATGCATCCACGACGACACGAAAAAAAGTACCCAGAATGCTATTATCGAGGGAACTGTTCGTAACAATTAAAAGAACTCAGCCTTTCCGACTGACATGTCATTTGAAAACCTCAAAGCGTTTTAAAAACTGAAACTATTAGTACAACCTCGAAATTTTTAGTAGCAGCCTTTACTGATCGTCGAGTGCAGTGCATATCAGGCAGTGAAAAACGTCACGCGACCTTGAATCTCAAATTCACAAATTGAAGAAGTGTAATCTGAATACGACGGAATTTCTGTGTATTCAGTAACCTCACAAAACCGCGCTCCATGTTCATCATAATCATCGGTGACAGCAACGCAGTCGTGTTTCACTACCGTACAACCGTATCAATTTAATTGAGTGAAAAAAATAAACGAGGCCGGGATGGGGACTTAAGACTAGTCTACAACAAACCCCTGAGGTGCCTACACCTTCAGCATTCAGTGAGACGATATGGATAGAGACTGACAACATGAAGGCTACTGACATCACAGCCTCAATTACCTTCAGTGTCTCAAGCCAAGCACAGTGTCACGTGGAAGGCGAACAGCGTCAACTTTACGTAACAGCCTTTATCCCCTCCCCTCATGCCAGATTCTGTCCACCCTTCTGTTTCCGCCGATCCGCGAAGCGAGGGATCATATACTCAGGCTCTTAGCTTAATTATGAATGGGGCTCTAGGGCTAATTGTTCCTACATAGATAAAAGCAGGTGCTCCGTCTTATCGTCTCCTCGGGTACGTGTAGTGTGGAAGAATCGGTAAGAATCCATGAACTACTACCAAAAGGATTGCGAAAGCAATGGGATGGAGGAGTGACGTGACTAAGTTGGTTGAGGTGTTCTGTCGCTTGTGTAACGCGTTCATGGGGACTCCACCTCACAGCATTTAAGCCTGATCGGACTAAGGTCGGACGTAACCGAGAAGTAACTACGAAAGTCCGTTGCCTGAGAACTTCACAACGAGAGATTCAGCTGGGTTCCAGGTGAGTCTCTCGCAAAACCAAATTCGTTTGCAAATGAGTGTATATTCGCAAAAGATATGTCCTATCAAACAGTGGAACGAAGGGGAAAGGGCGAGAACTTAGTACGAACAGACTGATGTCCCAAGGGTCAATTTGCTCGTACTCTGCAACAGAATAAACGCGATCGGGTACCAAATCGGAATAATCCCATCGGTGGAATTGATTCAACGTCCTTTACTGACCTCAACAACACAGGCCCAGCTAAGAAAAGCAGATCAAGCTGAACTAGTCAGCCAGACTACGAAGCAAGAGAACGCTTGCCATTGAGTCCCATTAGGTGTCATGTCCCCTAGAGTTTTTACCCACATGTAAAGACAGTTGCGTAGGCCCGCAGCGCCCAGCGTGACGGTAGTGACCACATTTAGGTTCTCTGTATCATAGCCTGTACCTGTCGAACCCTGCGGAAACGAGGGTTCGGAACGAAAAACTATTATATCATCATTTAGGCATGCAGAAAACAGGTCTCGGTTATCTTAACCTGACAGGTTTTATTTGCTCTGGTGGCTGGCTCGTCACCAAGGTTTGGCTTGAGGGGGAGATAGCCCAGTGTTGCGGGCTCGAATGTACAAACCGGAAGGTCTCGTTCGAACCCTGCCCGTCAACGACCGGTAGCGTAACGGCTTCCGAACTCTGCTGAGCAACAAGTAGTAGCCAGCAAAAGAGCGGCACAGTGAGTAACAGATCGACAAAACTTGTTCTAAGCCTCAACCTGGAGAGTCAGAAGACTGTTTGTCAGATCCCTCTCAACTGACCAGCCTGATGAGACAGACTCTATGACCGTCTCATAGTTCAACGGGTTGTTGAGGCTTTCGCATTACGACAAGGAGTTGTCTCTCCTCGACAGCTAGGAAACCATCTCCCCAAATGACATGACGAAAAAACGAGAGGGTGTTCAAAAAAGAAGCGGTACGATGTGTTGAAGAAAAAGCCGAAAGTTTATTATTGGCGTTCGGTTACACTGGAAGAAGATAAACAAACATCTTAATGAATTCTGATCACTATTAACAATTCCGCTCAACTAGCGGAATTGCAGATCTACACTGTGGCCGTTGACGGCTTTTTGTCTTTGTACTGGTTGTAGTAGATGAGCATTTTCTTGATCTCACCAATAGCCAGACCGGGATTGAGACCCTGCAAAAAGGCAAAAAGATAGGGGCAAATTCACAAGGCCTAGAGTGAGTAAAGAAGATGAATGGATTGTGTCAAAGTAGTCTAATCATCAATTGCTTTTGTCTCGAAACTCATGAACTAATCCAAGGTTATTATGGTTCACAACCTTGCAACAGTCACTCATATTGATTAGGACGTGAGTGATCAATACAGGCGACGCCAATGTAGTGTCTGTGTGTTTCTTTTGGCAGTCGGGTTGGTTTCATGGTCACGCCCATAAAACTGGTTCACCAACACACACACACACACACACAATTGTGTGTTATCTTAATGAATTCTGATCACTATTAACAATTCCGCTCAACTAGCGGAATTGCAGATCTACACTGTGGCCGTTGACGGCTTTTTGTCTTTGTACTGGTTGTAGTAGATGAGCATTTTCTTGATCTCACCAATAGCCAGACCGGGATTGAGACCCTGCAAAAAGGCAAAAAGATAGGGGCAAATTCACAAGGCCTAGAGTGAGTAAAGAAGATGAATGGATTGTGTCAAAGTAGTCTAATCATCAATTGCTTTTGTCTCGAAACTCATGAACTAATCCAAGGTTATTATGGTTCACAACCTTGCAACAGTCACTCATATTGATTAGGACGTGAGTGATCAATACAGGCGACGCCAATGTAGTGTCTGTGTGTTTCTTTTGGCAGTCGGGTTGGTTTCATGGTCACGCCCATAAAACTGGTTCACCAACACACACACAGTTAATTGTGTGTTGATGTTTGTTGGCTCAGCGTAACGCTTTCATTGCAAGAGAACGGTGTGTGCTAGGTCGTCAAACTAGGAAGGTCACGTATGCCTGCACTACGAACGAGAGCTGTATTGGGTGTCTACGTACATTTGAAGAAATTTGAATAAAATGGTGCTATTAAAGGGAATTGTCGGCCACCATTTAGAGTACAAAATGTAGAAGTGAGGTATGGTGGAATAGATGCAAATAATGACTGACCTACAAATAAGCATGAAAATTTGGGATACGTGTACGTGTCACCAACATCATCATCATCGACAGCGTGACACCAGTGTTCAACACTGGTGCTTCCCTGATGCACAACCATGACTTAGTTGAAAGTTTTATTGTGAACAAAAGGATAGAGGTGGATTGGGGGAAGGGACTTAGTGATTGCTTACTACAATCATTCCTACACCTCCAGATGCTCATTCAAGCAATCTGGATAGAAACTGACAACAAGAACGCCACTGGCATCAGTTGGCAGCCATATCTTGTAGCGTCTCCAACCAGGTGCAGTGGGGATCATGCGGTCCCCACCCTGGAAGGCGAGTGGCACCGACAGCACGCAAGCGTTTCGTGATCTCCTTCATACTCCTCTGCCAAGTCAGGGATTGGCCACCTCTCTGCTTACGTTACTCTGAGTTGGACATGGAAAACAGCACTCTCTCCGGGAAACGATGGTTTGGCATACGCAACACATGTCCCAACCCACGCAGCTTCTGGTGCTGAACAAATTCTTCAATGAAAATACCCGTTGCATAACCGAAAACCCATTTTCTAACTGCCTCGTTACGAATACGCCGACACCAACCCGCACGAGCCATGGTTCTGAGATGACGGTTGTCGAGCACATGAAGATGTCTCAGTTCCGCAGCTTGAACAGACCTAGTATGACAGCCGTACAACATGCACAGTGAATGCAACATGTTGGATGACATTCCACAGCTAGGAATATCTATCACTTTATAGCTGGGAGGTGTAGTAGCGAGAGTGCCCAAAAAAGACTGAACAGACGTTCCAAACAAAACCAGTGAAACAAGTGTGTTACTCACTTTGGGGCAAGTTTCGGTGCAGTTCATGATAGTGTGGCACCGATACAGTGACCATTTGTTCTGAAACTGGGTCAAACGCTCGTACGTGTAGTCATCTCTTGAATCGATGAGCCAGCTGAAAATAGATTAGCCGAAAATAGAAGTGCAGAAATAACCGGACTACCGAGAGGACGTTCGAGTAGATGAGATAAAAGTCAACCCCCAGAATCCATCCAGACGCTCCGACTCCGTTGTGGGAACATTTGAAGGCTAGATGAAATAAAAATTCGTCACTCCGAAGGTTTCTTCCCCAAACTCCAAAACATGAAGTTTAGATTTTTATGGGAGTCGGTTCCACAATTAAATGTCAACAAACGCAGCGAAGAACTAAAGAAACTAACGAAGCCTCACATGCCTGAATTTCAAAGGTCCCATGGAAACTGCACAATTCTGATGCCCCGAAGAATCGTATCTAGATCATCATACTACCGGCTGAACGGTTATACGCTCCGACTCCGTTGTGGGAACATTTGAAGGCTAGATGAAATAAAAATTCGTCACTCCGAAGGTTTCTTCCCCAAACTCCAAAACATGAAGTTTAGATTTTTATGGGAGTCGGTTCCACAATTAAATGTCAACAAACGCAGCGAAGAACTAAAGAAACTAACGAAGCCTCACATGCCTGAATTTCAAAGGTCCCATGGAAACTGCACAATTCTGATGCCCCGAAGAATCGTACCTAGATCATCATACTACCGGCCGAACGGTTGTGCCGTCCCATGCATTCCCCTGTTTTTGCATGAACACGACGTGACCGAGTAAATGAATTCACATACATACAATTTTCAAGTTTCAATTCACCTGCTATCGTCCCTGAAACGAAATATGCATGCGTTTAACAAGCAATGAACCGGACAATCTCGAGCAAGCGTATTCTGTACTCGCTTATCAACTGTGTCAGCAATCCTTCTCTCCTGGGTTACGGACTCCAAGCACGTCAACAATAGGTGGTAGATGGACAATCAACGGCGCATCTAAACTACACCTCTTGTCAGTAGACGAAACCGCACCGGCTAGGACCGACATGCCTTGATTGAGTACATAATTTACAGCTCGTAAAGTAGAGCAAATAGCTTAACTTCCAGGAATAGCACTGCTTCTACTGAGAGAAGTAAGCCTGTCGAAGAATGGGGGATTTAGTTACGGACATCTCCTTCGAAGTGCCGAACGCACAGCTGCGTCAAACGTGAAGGGGTTGGTAAACTATGTGACATGAATAAGCCGTCGGCAAGTAACACTTTGAATGAAACACTTGACGGGCTCGGGGTGGTTCATCGAAAACATACGCTATCAGTGCAGTACGACTAACCTAGATTTTCTCCATAGAAAGTTTTCTGCACCCTGCAGCGTTCTGCAAGTAGCCTCGCGCAGAAACGACTCCCTCAGGTATCGCAGATAAGGACGGAAGTGTGCCGTGGCGACGCAAGCTGAAGATAACGCTCACGCAACCAATGAAGTGTTAAGTGCTTGAGGGATACAAGTGATGTTCTCAACATCTCACACCGACTATTCGCCTAATAGTCAGAAACACGTTCCAGAGATGAGTCTGTGGTATCAACAAAACAACTGGTGTACAAGCCGAGGATCATCTTAACCGAACTGGTGCGTCACTGGGAGAACAAGCTGCTCAAAATAACAACTCACCGGTACGCTTGCAACAAGACCGCCGGTCCAAGATACTTGTCTCCGTTCCACCAGTATGAAGGACATGATGTGGCACAACAAGCGCACAAAATGCACTCATACAGACCATCCAGCTTTGCCCGATCCTCAACCGACTGATAGTAAGTGGCTTTCCCAATGTCCTCCTCAGACACCCCCTTTTTCTTCAAGTACGGCTCGATCCAGCGATACTGTGCGTAGAAGTTATTCATATCCGGGACGAGATCTTTGATGACAAACATATGTGGGAGCGGATAGATCTTCGTTGGCTTGCTCAGATCCTTGTCAATTTCCCTGTAGTAGAGAATATGCGATGTGAGGTTTACGTTTCGGGTAGGATGTGATAGATGATATACTGAGCATACAAGCAGATAAACAAATGTAAAAATAGCCCAGTTCCATACATCTATACGATCTAGAGGCAATTTTCTGGACGAAGCACCCAGTACGATTGATGGTGCACCGAAACACGTCAACTAGGTGAAACTAGGTACTAATTAATGGATACTGGGACGTGCACAACAGCATAAAGCACATAATACACTACTCATAAGGTCGCTGAAAACTTCGCTTAAAAACATCATAAACGAGAGATTCAGCCGGGTTCCAGGTGAGTCTACTGCAAAACCAAACTGGTTTGTAAATGGGTGTATTTCGCTAGCATAAAGCACGGTTCTCTCCTCCACCATCTTATACAGTCGAAAATTATAGTGCAACAAGATTTAGCACGAAGGAACCAACCATGGAATTGATGGATTTTTACTCACCGCTGAGCTTAAGCATCGTTGTCATCCTTCATCCACACAAAACAGTCTGACTATTATCGTGGTCTTACTACTAATTCCCGTTCGGATGAGTAGGCTATAGTGATTCCTAAAAAAATCGATAATCATCGTACGGACACTGGACTTGAGCGCATAAGCACCTGTTTGCCATTGCAGTTTACTCCTCCATGAGTAAGCTCTGCAGGGGGAAAAGGGGGGTAGAAGCAGTCTATGGAAAGTAAGCCTCACTGACAGGTCAAATCATATCCCCAACACCTACATTTCACCACAATCAACCTGGATGGACGATTCAACTTAGGTCGACCTGTTGACGTACATCAGTCCTGAAATTCTACATACTCAAAAGGGCGTTCAATGGTAGTAGGTAAACTATATGTGTCCCAAGTCTCTGTACTAGAGAGAATTCTGATTCCCCAAAGTCCCACCGCAACGCGGACCGATGTATCAGCCTAAGTACCGTGTATCTCACTCAGTCACACACAAGAGACCACGTAGTTTCCTGGGTGAATTGTTCCCAAGGCTCATAAAGTTCTCCGAGGTCCGCTTGGAGCTCGACGAGCTGCACGTAGTCCAGGTTTCATTGTACGTCCACTGCTAATAAACTACTTCATGTAATTAGGTGATAAATTCTGAGTATTTAGCAGGGTGCCGTCTCAGCTCTCGGGAGCTGTTGGCATTGACAACCTTCACTTGTCTTCTACTCGAACGAAACCGGAGATAGCTCAGTGATAAAGCAAAAATGAATGGGGTTCGATACGTCAACTGTTGGGTCCGTTGATTACCATCTTCAACTGAAATCGGCAGCTGCATAGCAGAGGTTCTCCTATTGGACCTATTGAAGGAAGAACGAGGACTGGGATACTGCCAAGATACCCAAGTCTGGACAGAAGCAATCGACATGTCCAGGTTGGAGTTGAAATATGAACTTTCTGATCGTGCGTTAACCACTGAGCTATCTCGAGCATTGAAAACGTCAACTATAAAATTCTAACCACTGATGAACAGAAAATGACGATTATATTAGTCAGCAAACAGACCGTATCTCCTGAGAACCTACGCTCAGTGTTTGATGAACAACGATTCCCAAGTCGGCAGCCACGCATGAGGATGCTGCTATCGGAACGCCTGGAGATAGACACCCACCGCCGGGTTACCGAACGCATGCTCTCCCAACTATTCTACGGAAAAAGCTTGCTCTCCATCAGATCTATGCTGCTCAAATTCAAACGAATTTGTCTATTGGACTAAGTGTTGGTGTCTGTCAGTGCTGTATCGAGCCCCATATACCTTGAAGTAAACAACCTTAGCAACTCCTTAGAGCAAGGGAAATGCAAGTCTCTCTTTTCGTAAAAAGTACTCTCCACCATGGAATCTCATCGAATGAAGCTGTCCGGATTTTTCACGGATCATTCTTGCAACAGAGACCTTAGAATAACGAAGCACTAAACTTTCTACCCTTATGGAGATACACAAGGTCTCAAACTATGCAGGTTCCCTAACGAAACGGAAGTAGAAAAAGTACTGTATGAGAAGACAGTTTTATCTGTGATCATGTCCTTGAATTTGAGTTTTATTCGTTCGATACGGACCGGGACTCGATAACCTTACAACGGTTAACCAACCTGTAACGCGACTCTAGGGTAATTCAGTTGGTGGGCTTTCGGGCGAAATGGCCCGAATGGTACAGTTTGTGGTGTATGTGTGTGTGTGTGAAAGAGAGGGGGTAAAGGTACCATAGGTCAACAGTCATCATCATCATCGACAGCATGATATCAGTGTTCAACACTGACGCCTCGCTGCCGTACAACCATGATTTAGTTGAAAGTCTTATTGTGAACAAAAGAATGAATGTGGTGAGGGGGGAAGGGACTTAGTGCTAGCCTGACACAATCATTCCGAGGTGCCTACACCTCCACACATTCACTCAGGCAATCTGGACAGAAACTGACAACAAGAACGCCACTGAAATCAGTTGGCAGCCATATCTTGTAGTCTCTGCAACTGGCCGCGGTGAGGCAGCCGCGGTCCACATCCTAGAAGGCGAGCAGCGCCGACAGCACCCAAGCGTTTCGTGATCTCCTTCATACTCCTCTGACACGTCAAGGGTAGGCCACCTCTCTCCTTCTGCCAATCCGTGTTGGGAATGGAAAACAGTACTCTCTTCGACACACGATGATTCGGCATACGCAGTACATGTTCCAACACAGCTTCTAGTGCTGGACACATTCTTCGGTGAAAGTACCCGTTGCATAACCGAAAGGCCGCTGCCTCGTTACGGATTCACCAGCACCAACTCACACGAGCTATGGTTCTGAGACGACGATTGTCGGACACCTGAAGACGTCTCAGTTCCACTGACCGAACAGATCATGCCTCACAGCCATACAACAAAACATCCGACACTGTAGCTTGATACACACGTCCCTTGAGATTCAGGGATACACCACTTTGACGCCATAGGTGTTTCAAATTAGCAAACGCGACCCGAGCTTTACAGATGCGTGCACTGACGTCAGGTTAACGTCCGGACTTTTCGCAGGCTAGTAATTCATTCGTATCACGCATTTCTCTTCCAGTGGGTGGGTCGCACGTTTAATCTTGTTGGTAGTCACGTGTCACATGCACATAACGATCATACCAACAACAAATACCAATGTAACCATGAGACATTCACGCACGTATGTAGCTCAAATCACGCACAGTCGGTGAACTTCGGTGCAGACATGGAGTACTTCGTGTGCTTTAAAGAAAATTCGCTAAGTGCTGAAATCAGCGATCTATGGTAGTAGGATCGAGATGACTCAGTGGCTAAGGCGCTTACTGACCGGAAGGTCTGTAGTTCGAACCCGACTTCTGCATCTTGACTGCTCCTGTTGTCTAGACTTGGGTAGTATCTCGACCCTCGTGCTTCCTTCGGTTGGCGTGGCAGCTAGGCATCGAAAGGACGCTACAACCGAAGGATTGTTATAATTCATTGTGAGAGGAACTGTGTCCGGACTACTAATAATCGTCGTCACCTTGAAAATACAAAACGAATGTCGTCTTACCCTGAACTGCTGGTCAAGTGTGTTGACCTTCATGGCGTTCATGCTCCTGACCGCTTTCCTTAGGTTCTTCAAGGTCACATCCCAAAGAACTGAAATGAGTCGAGTTGTGGACACCAAACAGAATCTACTAACCACAGAACTGTTATCCAGACACCGTTCAAAACGCTCCATAATTTCGAGTACATATCAACCCCATTGTGGACAGCCTGAGGACAACATCACGACATTTTAACACGACAGGGTAGGTTATGGATTACTGGAGTAATACTGTCCAGTATGACGGGCCATCGATCAAACATTGTCACCACATAATCAGCTATAAATCATGCAAACTGTATGGTAGTTCCGGCCACCTATTTTGCACACTGGAGTTGTGAGAAACGGGAGTGAATAGCTATGCATTGCAGGCGGATCTGATGAAATTAATCTGTCTGCGAACAATAGACGGTAGCCTCCAAACATCAGAACCTCTACTATGGAAGTGATGTCCACCAGGCCTAACAAAATAGCAAAAAACATTATTCAATAAGCGATATTCTTACGATCAACTTTCACTGATCCCCGTTTACAATTACCAGACGATGTCAGTTAAACAATTGTTACGCAACCAAATGACCTTGCCTATCACAAGCACCTCGCTGCAAGCATTTTGTCGAAGTACCGTCACCTGAAGAAGTTAGTTTTGTGTGGGAGGGTGTTTGTGATACCCATCTCCAATATGTTTTATGCCCGTGATTGGGCAGATCACAAAACCCCTATACATAAATCGATCGCCGTGTAGTTTTCAGGTTGGTGGCTGATGATTCAAAAGCCGACGGCGTATGGCAACATCAGGTGCCGAATGCGAAAAGCTGACAATTTTTTGTTCAATCCTCAAATTTGTGCCTAGATTGGCGGACTCGTAAGGACCATGTGGATACTCAGTGTTGATGTTATAGAACCTGGGGGCAAGATGGCCCAAGTGGTTAGAGCGCGAATTTACTGACCGGAAGGTTCGCGGTTCGAATCCGACCACTGCCACTCGACTTCCCCTGTCTAGGTTTGGGCAACCTGGCAGTATCCCAGCCCTCGTGCTTCCTTCAGGTGGCATGGCAGCTAGGCACCGGAAGGGTGCTCCAGCTGAACGCTCTCTCTCTCCTCCGCTCTCTGTTATAGGACCTATCGGAACAAGCTAAGCTTAGGGATGCTCTTAGGGTGCTACAGCTGAACGCTCTCTCTCTCCTCCGCTTTCTGTTATAGAACCTATCGGAACAAGGTAAGCTTAGGGATGTTCTCATCCTTCCTCACGTAATGTAAGACAACCGAAATATCCGGCCAATGAAAGGCCAATCATCCTCTGTAGAGTCCATCAGAGCTCGGCTCGCCAGCGGCATGTGCGACTGTCAGGGAAGGAAGTGTACCCTAGCAGGAGCAAACTTCAATAGCTTGACTCCACATTTATGTACGCTGGAAATTCATCCCC